TCGCTCTGCCCTTCCTCCCCTCCTCCTCTTCCTCACAGCCCCCCCACCGACCCTGGAGCTCTGAGGTGGGGGCATTATGACCTCTGACCCCGGCAGCACTTCCTGTCCATGTCTGATGGTTGACTGGAACCGGAACCGGAACCGGAACTGCCTTCACATCCGTTTCACTGTTTATTTGTTTCCAGCTGTAATGTGAAATTTCTGCTGATAAATTTCTGAACCGAAATCAGAACCAGCTGAGAAAAAGTTTAAATCCAGAGAAGAAAGTCGCAACAAAATAATGCAGGAATGAAATAATTGTTACCAAAATTAAGAAATAAATTAATTCTTAGCCCGTCTTAGTTTCTGTCTCAGAAAACAAACTTTTCTGTTTTGGGAAAAACATTAAAAGGTGAAACTCTGAATTTGAGGGTATGAATACTTCTGACAGCCTGTTTGGTTTTTAGTTTAAATCACATTAAAGGTGCAAAACGTTTTAAAATAATGATGATTTTCTCATTTTAACGCCTGATGTTTCACCAGGGTGTGAATACTTTATCCACTTTGTTTCCTGCTAATAAACAGAGAATGTGCTGCTAATAGCAGCTAGCATGGCAGGAAGACCACGCCCACTGCAGGTCCACCAATCACAGCGGGCGGGGCTTGTTCTGGTGGGCGGGGCTTGTTCTGGTGGGCGGGGCTTGTTCTGGTGGGCGGGGCCTCTGGTTGAGGGGAACAGATAAAGCTGTAAAAATAAAGTTGATAATTCACTTCATTTTTTGTAATTAAAAAATAAAGTGAAAAAAGTTGTAATAATGACGTTAATGTTGTAATGATACAGGAATAGTTGATAATATGGCAAAAAGTAATTAATAGTCGTAATACTATGAAAACAGATGTAATAACACGAGCATAAAGTCATAACACTATAAGTAATAAAGTTGTGATAACAGCAGTAAACAGAATATAAACGGATCGGCACCGAACAAACGACCCATAAAGGCTGATGGAATAGAAAATAAAACATGACACAGTTTACAGTAAAGCTGCTTCTGGGGCTTTTATTTTGAAAACAAAATAAGGATGAAAGCAAACGTGCCAGTAAAGATTCAGTGGAAGGACGACATGCTGTTTGGACTGAAGATCTTGATCCAGTAGCCGTCAGGATCCCGGATGAACGCCAAGTCCTTCATCTTTCCTGCAGGAACCAACAGAGAAAATGATCCAGCTGATCCGCCGTTTGGATCAGAACTGCTGGGACTGGACCAGCCTAAAAAGGAAATTTACACTGAAATTAAGTTATTTTATGATCTACTATATTAAATTAACCTTGAGCGCCACCTCCTGGAGAACATTTGAAGCCCAAGAACCAAACTGTTAGTTAAATGCCTCCTGTTGCTCCAACCTGAGGATTCATGGAGAATCTGGTCACGTTTTCTCTGAAACTCACCAGAATCTGGTTTCTTAACAAACTCCACTCCCAGCTCTTCAAACAGCCGGCAGGCGGCAGAAACATCAGGAACACTGATGCCGATGTGACCTGGAAGGAGGAAAGCCATCAGCTGCTAGTCGCTAACGTTCAGCTCAGCCTCCAACAGTCCAGTCAAAGGTTAAAGGCAAACTTCTCACCAAATCCTCGCGGCTCCTTGTTCCCGTTATGATACTGCAGCTTTTCATCCGACTCTGAGCCCCAGTTACTGAAGAGAGGAGAAACAAACCAGTTAGCCGGGTAGCAACAAACCAGTTAGCTCTGAAGCATCAAACCAGTTAGCCGTGTAGCATCTAACCAGTTAGCTCTGAAGCAACAAACCAGTTAGCCGGGTAGCAACAAGCCAGTTAGCTCTGAAGCATCAAACCAGTTAGCCGTGTAGCATCTAACCAGTATGTGGGTAGCAACAAACCAGTTAGCCGTGTAGCATCAAACCAGTTAGCCGTGTAGCATCAAACCAGTTAGCCATGTAGCATCAAACCAGTTAGCTCTGAAGTATCAAACCAGTTACCCGTGTAGCATCAAACCAGTTAGCCGGGTAGCAAAGCTCTTCAGAGAAATGGCTGCTCAGTTCAATGTTTTGCTGACCATCTGAAAAGTACGGTGGCCCAGGAGTGACGTAATGCTAAAAGTTGTGCTAAATCGCACTACATGCTAAAATTAAAACTAAGCTAAAATTGAAGTTATGCTAAAATCTTGCAACACAACATCACAAATACGAAACCACGTTTGTGATGAACTTGCCAGCATAACTTGTGCTGTGGATTTCTGCTATTCTGTGTTTTGTTGAGCCTTCTGGGCCACCGTAGAAAGTGGGTCATGTTTCAGACTGGAGCACCCAGTAGAGGTCAGGGTTTAAAGGCTGGGATGAAACCAGTGTGGAAGGACGCTGCAGCCGTTTGAGGTTGTTAAAGAGTGGAAATGTAGGCGTGCATGCTGCGTTACTGCGTGAGCTCCAGCGTTCCCCGGCAGGAGAACGTCCAGGCCGTCCTCTCCAGGCGCTCCGACGGGATCTCCGATTTGCTCTCGTATCCCAGGAAGTAGTGGCTGAATCTCATGGAGGGGAAGTCGATCTTCTGCAGCAACCTGCAACCCAGACAGGAAGTCAACGCCCGACGCCTGCCGCCTTCAAAGACCGTAGGAACTGTGAGCGCTCACGTCATGCCCAGGACTCTGGTGTAGAAGTCCAGGGAGCGGGCCGGGTCCTTCACCCGCAGCATGGTCTGCTGCAGCATGTAGTCCTGGAGAGGAAACCGCTTTACTGCACTGCTGCAAAAACGCTTCATGGACCACAAACGTCCCAGGAGGCAAAACAGAACATTGTTGTTCTGAGGCCTTTTTCACTAATATCATGGTTTAATAATAATGCAAGAACACAAAGATCAATAAACTCTAAAGTCTAATGAACATTTAAAACTGGAGTGGAAAACTTTAAATATCCAGAATAAATAAAACAAATACAATCAACTATGAAATCTCTGAAACAAAGCTATCCTTCAAAATAAAAGAAACAGCAGCAGAATGGGCTCTTTGCACCTAAGGCGTTGACGTCACATCTCCAGGAGCTAATGCGGCTCACTTGTTTCCGCTTTGAGTTTCCATGA